TTGATGGGGAAATAAAAATCCAGAATATTATTGAAATTTCGAAATTTTTTTTTTTTGGTTTTTTATCTGGTTGATTTAAACAAACACACACACATTCTGTGTGTGTTTGTGTGTATGACAATGACAAAGTTGAAGAAAAATGACAAAAAAAAGTCTTCCTTTTTTTGTTATGTTTCCAGTGAGCAAAACGAGAAAAAAAATCGAAAAATTATTCAAAATCGAAACAATGACCAACAACAATTTTCATAGAAAAAAAAATGTGACAATCAATCATTTATCAATCAATCAACAATTCAAAATCAATAGTGATTGTCAACCAGAAAAAAAAATTTATTCCAAATTCAATGATAATATTCAATTCAATTCAATTCAATTCATTCATCAATGAATCGATACATTCATTCATTCATTCATCATTTGCATTTTTCTTTTATGATTATCAAATGTGCGAAAAGAAAAAAAAATGTTAAAATTCAATTCCAATTCAAAGAATTCACTTTCTATTTTCCATTTCTATTCTCTCTCTCCCTTGCTTATATCAACAAACACTTATTGATCAGATAAAACAAGAAAACAATTCAAGAATTGTGATGATGATCTTGATAGAATCTTTTTTTCAAAATGGTAATTCATTTTTTTTCTGCTTTCGATTGTGTTCAAATTGACACCAAGTGTCACAATTATTTCAACATTCTTTTTTTTCAGTTGTTGTTGTTGTGGGTGTCAATCGATTTTGGAAAAATGAACAAAATAGATATGATGAATCAATGAAGCAAAAAGTAAAAAACGAAAAGTAAAAGAAAAATATTCAAATTAAACAACAACAAGAATCGATTGAAGACATACAAAAAAAATATATTTTTTTAAAAGTTTTCTTAGAAAAATAATAACAACAATGGCTGATCAATGATTCAAATCAATAATTTTTTATCATATTTTTAGAATAATGATGATGATGATGATAATGATGATTTCATAACAAGTTATGACGTTGATTTATTATTGTTATTAGTATTATTCAAAGGAATGAAAAACAAGTTAAAGTTAAAAAAAAAAATCAATTGTATTTGTAAATCATTCATATGATTTAGATAGATTGTATAATAAGGTAAAGTTTTTCTATTGGTTTATTATGCGAAAAAAACGGAATATGGATCACAAAAAACTATTTGATAGGAAAATTTTTTTCCTAAACAAATGAAAATTTCCACAGCAACCATAAGAAGAAAATCACAAAGGAAAATAATCGAAACATGATCAACCGTTGAATGAAAAACCAATTTTGTTTTTTTCACATTTATCATTCATTCATTTAGTATTGAATTTGAAGAACAACCAAAAGAATTTTTATTGAAGAAAAAAACAAAATGAAACCACATTTATCCAAATATCGAAATATATTAACAAATTTATCGATCAAAATGTTAATGAATGGACCAATAAGACAAGAAAATTATTTATTCGGTTTTGATCATCTTAATCGAAAACAATTTAATCATTTATATGAAAAATATCAACAAGTTAAACATAATGAATGGTGTACGATTCAGAATTTACAAACAAAAATTTCATTAATTATTTTGATTTTTTTCTCCATTCGATCATTATACATAATGATAACAATAAATAATGATCATGATGATAATGATACGGAACAACCAATCATTTGTACAATTTTAGGATCAATATTTAATCTAGCCAATGCTAGTCGTTATCATTGTGAAACAATTGTATTTCTTATATCAACATTATCAATATCCGAATGGCTGATATTATATTCAACAAAAAAATTTAATTTTTTCTTCAAATTAAATACAATTTATTGGACACAAATTTATGATCCATATGATCAACAACAACAACAACAGAAAATTATCGATCATCAGCAATCATCAAATGATAATAATCATAATAATAATCGCTTAAATCGATCAAAAATACAAATGATCGGTATAAAAGAATTGAAAAAAATTAAAAAATTACAATTACGAATACGTTTATTTTTTAATTATTATCTTTATTCAATATCGGCAATAACAATAATTGTATTTATAACAAGTCAAACAATATTAATTACAAGTGATCCATTAAAAAATAATTATCATTTATTTAATTATTCAAAATTTTATTATACAATTTATACATTGATTATAAGTTATGGTCAATTTGGTCATATTATTGTGTTTGTATAACGAATGGAATGTTATCATCATTTCCAATTGCGGCAACAATTTTAAAATATAAAATTATGATTACAATTGATCGTTATAATCAATATCAAAAAATGATTATGAATCATTTGGAAAATTCAATTCGATTGATTCGTTTGAATGAAGAATTTATTGTTTTAAAATATCTGAATCGTATTAATAAATTAATCAATGAAATTTGGTTTCAAAATCAATTTTGGAGTCGTCATATTGCAATTGTACATATATTTCTTGTTATTATTATTGGAAAATGTCTTTTTGTTATTTTTCTAACAAAAGCAATGTTATTTTTACGAATATTTTTCGGTATGGTTTTAATTGTAGCATTATTTGGACAAATGATGTGTTTACAACCAGCATCAACTGTTTATAATCAAATATAACGTTTTCAACAAATACAAACATTATTTGTTCAACCAAAATTTCATTTATCCCGTATAACAAAATTAAAATTAATAAAATTATTAGATAATGAAGATGTTGGTTTTACATTGATCGATGGTATTATAATACGATCAATTATGATTGAAGTTGTAAGTATATTGTAATTTATGATCTTTAATTTATAATATTTTTACTGTTAATATATTTTCATTGTCAAAACAGGCAATTTATCGTATGATGTGGATGTTCTTTTTGATTGTACAAAATTTACGATAAAATTTGATTAATCAACAAAAACCATGCAATCTAATAACATAATTAACACCAGGTGTATTGACACCTTGACATTGAAAAAACAAAAACAAAAACATTTGTTGTGGTTGTTTTACTGAATGTCATTCTTTTATTTTTTTTTTTCTATACCAATTTTGGCTTCAAATGAACATAATCATTAATTATATGCCCATTTAATGTTTTTTAATTTCATTGGAATGAAATAATAATAAAAAATTAAAAAAATTAAAAGTTTTTTTTTTAAAATTAATTAACAACGTATTTATCAAGAAATATTATTCTTTTTTTTTATAAAAATTTCAGAATTTTTTTCTAGTACAGAATTTAAATTCCAGAATTTGTTGTTGTACATTTTTCCACTTGTCATTTGACATGTTTGTGAATTTTGGTTGACAACACAAACAAAATGAAATCATTTGAAGAAATTTCGAAAAAAATTATACGATTAATTCAACATTGTTTAATTATAACAATACCGGATGAAAAAATACCTATCGATTATCTAACAAGAAAATATTTTCAATCAATTTTCATTAAACAACAACAACAACAACGATATCGAAATCAAACAGCCAGGAATCATTATGATGATGGTGATGATGATAATAATCAAAACAAAACAATCAAATGGCTTACAATCAATGATAAACGAGTTATATTTGCATTAATATTCTTATTAGTATTTATTGTTCGTTCATTTTTCTTAGCAATATTCATTGATAAAAATGATAAACAAAATCTATATCTTACATTGTTTGGTTCTGGTTTTCGTCTTATAAATGGTGATACATTTTGTCTTGAAATGACTACCTGTCTATTATCATTAGTAGCATTAATACAATGGTTTGTTATATTTAAATCAAATGAAACGAATTTGTTCTTCAAATTAAATATAATTAATATAAAACAAATTTATATTTTAATTTATAATCAATTAAAATTGATTGAAAATCATCATAAATTAGCATTGATCAAACAAAATAATGATTATCGACCCGATATAACAATATGGTTGTTGATAAATTTTTTTGCAATGATTCGTATTGGTTGTACATTTGGTATACCATTCGTAATTTATATAACAAGTTTAGCTATCTACATTATTGGTGATCCAAAAATGAATAATTTTCATTTATTTTTCAATTCCTATATTGTTTATTATGGATATTCATCATTTATTTCGTTAATATGGTCATTATGGGCATTCATAATGATTGATTTAGCATCATCAACAATAATATTATTTCCAATCATATTATCAATATTACGATATAAAACAGCTCGATTAATTGAATATATTGATTATCAATTGGAACAAATCAATATGATTAATTATAATTCAAAATTAAAACGACAAAATGCACAACAAATCAATATTTGCATACAAAAATATATTCGTTCAATAAATTTATTGATTGATGAAATATTATTTCAAATAAAAAATTGGTCATTACATTTAACAACATTATATCATTCAAGTATAATTATAATCGGTTTCTTTTTCTATATAATAACATCAATCGAAATGGAATGGTTATTTTATCTAACATTTATTATTTTAATTATTTTAAGTATGATAATGTTATTTGCTTATACAAAATCAGCTGCAAAATTTAATATACAATTATATCGTATTAGTATACATGATTTACAAACAATTTTACCTAAATATCGTATTACATTTAGAAATCATATTAAAATTATAAATCATATTACATTGATTGATACAAACGCATTAATATTTCATCAAAGTGATGGTATAAAACTTGGACCAATCACACAAGTAACGGTAAGTTATTGTCTTTTTTCTATTAATTAGCAAAATTCATTAATTTTTTTATAAAAAAAACAAGATTATCGCTCAAATTATGGCCATGTATTTTTTAATAATGCAATTATTGATTAAAAAAAATTTTAAATTATAAATAAACAAAATACCAAGAAAAACAACATACAAATTAATTAACATGATCATTAATTATGATCATTTAGCGTTTTCTTTGCACTTGGTTTCTCCGGAATAACCATAAATAAAATTAAAATTTTCAAACCCAAAATGACAAAACGTTTTCTTTTTTATTCAATTAATTAACTACATATGAAATAATAATGTTAATATCCTTTTCAAATTTTATCACTATGCATTTTTGTTTGTTTGCTTTTTGTTTGAATTTTCTTATCTGGACAGTTGTGTGTTGTTTAGTCATTTAAAAATTTGTAAACGTTGATGAAACAACATTATTGAATAGAAAATGAAATCATTTGAAGAAATTTCGTTAAAAATTATTCAATTAATTCGATATTGTTTAATTATAACGATACCGGATGAAAATATACCTATCGATTATTTAACAAGAAAATATTTTCAATCAATTTTTATTGAACAACAACAACAACGAAATCGAAATAGATCAGCGAATAGTTCTTATACAAATGATGATAATAATAATCAAAACAAAACAATCAAATGGCTAACAATCAATGATAAACGAATTATATTTGCATTAATATTCTTATTAGTATTTATTGTTCGTTCATTTTTTTTAGCAATTTTCATTGATAAAAATGATAAACAAAATCTATATCTTACATTGTTTGGTTCGGGTTTTCGTCTTATAAATGGTGATACATTTTGTCTTGAAATGACAACATGTTTATTATCATTGTTAGCATTAATACAATGGATTGTTATATTTAAATCAAATGAAACAAATTTTTTCTTCAAATTAAATATAATTAATATAAAACAAATTTATATTTTAATTTATAATCAATTAAAATTGATTGAAAATCATCCTAAATTAACATTGATCAAACAAAATAATGATTATCAACCCGATATAACAATATGGTTGTTGATAAATTTTTTTGTAATGATTCGTATTGTTTGTACATTTGGTATATCATTCGTAACATTTATTACAAGTTTAGCTATATTTATTATTGGTGATCCAAAAATGAATAATTTTCATTTATTTTTAAATTCCTATATTGTTTATTATGGATATTCAATATTTATTTCATTAATATGGTCATTATGGGCATTCATTACTGTTGATTTAATGTCATCAATGATGACATTATTTCCAATCATATTATCATTATTTAGATATAAAACAGCAAGATTATTAGAATTGATTGATTATCGATTAAATCGAATCACCAAGATTGATTATAATGATTCCAAATCAAAACAACGAAAAAGACAACTACAACAACAACGAATCAATATTTGCATACAAAAATATATTCGTTCAATAAATTTATTGATTAATGAAATATTATTTCAAATAAAAAATTGGTCATTACATTTAACAACATTATATCAAACAAGTATAATTATAATCGGTTTCTTTTTCTATGTATTAACGGCTGTAAAAATGGAATTATTATTTTATCTAACATTTCTTTATTTAATTATTTTAAGTATGACAATGTTATTTGCATATACAAAATCAGCTGCAAAATTTAATTTACAATCATATCGTATTAGTATACATGATTTACAAACAATTTTACCTAAATATCGTATTACATTTAGAAATCATATTAAAATTATAAATCATATTACATTGATTGAAACAAACGCATTAATATTTCATCAAATTGATGGTATAAAATTTGGACCAATCACACAAGTAACGGTAAGTTATTTTTCTCCTGATTATTTGAATTGAATTTGTAAAAATTATTATATTTTTTTTTGCTAAGATTATCTCTCAAATTATGGCCATGTACTTTCTAATAATGCAACTATTCATTTGAAACAATTAATCAATGAATGAATATCAAATTCATATTTAGATCATTATCGTTCAAGTTAATTACAATTAATTATTCAATTCAATTTCAAAACATGACGTAAATATTCCTTGGAATTTTAAAAAAGAGAAAATTTCTACGGAAAATTTCTTTTTTTTTTTCATAATCAACACAATGCAATGACTAAACAAAAAAAATGTCATTATTATAATGATTAATGATGATTTTTATGTGTTGAAACACTGTACTGAATATAAAAACATAATACATTAATAATAATTGGATCAATCAATCACAATCACAATTACAATTACATTATCTATAAATTCATTCAATATCTTTGATCTCATTATTAACACAAACAGAAAAAAATTGATCTGGAAAAAACAACAATCCCTATTCAAAAAAAAGATCAAAATGAATAAACCAAATCATCATCATTTGAATCAATCTAATTTTATATTTTATTTTTTTTGTTTTGTTTGATTTCCAAAAAAAAAAATGAGTGTCAAGGCAACCCAAAACAATCATTATCATGATGATGATGATTTGAAAAAAATCACCCAACAAACAACAACAATACCGATATCCAATATATATAGTGTAATGGATACCAAAAAAATACTCCAAATTATATCTAGGTTACTGGTATTTGGATGGAGCCATAAAGAAATTATATAGAGTACTTTGACCGGGTCTATATATTTATACAATGTTTGTTAAAAAAGACCAACAACAACGTAGTTTTGATAGATAGTAAAAGTGGATGATGTTTTGGTTGGAATTTTTTTAGTGATATGCATTTTAGGTAGTGGTTCGGTTAATATATTTTTTTTCCTCTTCTAACCCGATTATTTTAAAGAGTATCTCGATGATGATGTTGTTGTTGATAATGATAGATTGAAATTTGTTGTTGTTGTTGTTGTTTTTAATATCTTTATTTTGTTGTTTTTTTTTTTTTGATAAATTTCCGACAATAACAACAACAACAATCCAAAAATATAAATCATTGTAATAATGACATATATTATTTGAAACTTGAAACAAAAATTTCAAATGCTATTTCATCAATTTGTCCAAGTGAAAACAACAACAACAACAACAACAACATCGATTTGCATATCGATCAATAATCGTTTTTTTATCATTCAAAAAAATCCTGAAATACGACTATAGTACCGGCCGGCTAGCTGGATGGATGGCTTGTTTTTTTTTCAGACTCGAAATTTGTTGATAAAATCTTTTTGTTGTTGTTTTTGTTACATTATCATTTGTGAAATCATTTTTCTCTTTCTCTCTCTCTCTCTCTCTCTCTCTCTCTCTCTCTCTCTCTCTCATGGTGTTTGTTTATCTTATCATGTTTTTTTTGTTGTTGTTGTTGATGTTTTTTCCACTGTTGTTTTTATTTTTGTTGATATTGACAATACATTGATCTTGTGATAAAAACGAAAAAAAAAAATTCCTGCATTTTCATTCGTTGCTTCGTTTATTCCTTTCATAATTTGATTTAAATTTGTCCTGGCTGAATTATGTTCGACAAAGTTGAACAACAACAACAACAAAATTTATCAATCATCAATCTTTTGATCGAAAAAAATCATATTTTTCTCTGTGAAAAATCCTACACAAACTCTCTCAGTTCAACGTTGAACAACAAACAACTTTCCATATTCGGACATTTATGGTCAGCAGCATTATCATCATCATCAATTATAAGGTATGTAGTCAAACTTTTTTTTTCGTGTTCAATTCATTTTCAACACATTTTCATTTTTTTTCGGCAATCGAAATTTAAATTTTTTTTTTTTTTGAAAAAACAACAACAACAACAAAGTTGCCATCATCAACAACAGAACATTTACCTGTCAAACTTAAAAAATTGTTTTTTTGTTTTTATATTTCTGGCAATTTCATCAGGTGTACATGAACCAAAGTAAAACTTTCGTTTCAAAGCTTAGATAAGATGTTTGTGTGTTGTGTATACGACGTTTATTAGATTAATATTTTCCTTTTTCTTTACATTACATAATACTTTTGGTGGATTTTTGTTTTCATTTTTCATCATTTTTTTCGCTATTCAATCATTCATCATTCATCATCATTTTTTTAAATTGCAAAATGAATGATTGAATAGAGAAAAATAAGTTTTTCATTTTCCTTGTTGAAATGACGACGACATGAATTTTCGTTTGAAAGATTTTGAAAGTTTTGCTTGCTTGTTTATCATCAATTTTTATTATCAAATAATTTGAAAGTGGCAGAAAAAAAACTTTTACATTTTTTTTCGTTTTCTCCAAAAAAAAACAAAAATTCATTTTACCTGTCATCAGGTACCGGTTTTGTTTTCTATACATTCAAGTTTGGCTGTTTTGTAGTTGAAAAATTTTTTGTTTATTTTCAATATTTTTTTTTTTTTTTTTTTTTTTTTTGTTTTAGGGAAAATTTGTGGGAGAANTTTTGTTTGGTTTCAGGAAACATTCGTGGAAGAAGAAAACGTGAATGAAATCGAGAGTTAGTAAGTGAAAGAGAGAGAGAACAAGGAAGACTCAAGTGATGTGATACCTGGCTAGTAAAAATTTCTTTGAAAATTTAAGTTTTTTAAAGAAAAAAAACTTTTTTTCCAGAAAAGAAAATGAAAACAACACACAAAAATACATATCCGACGTCTGGATCTATTCAATGATTCAATTGAATGATTAGGATGATGATGATAATCATAATCTCCAAAAAATATTAATCTTTGGTTATTTTTTTTTCTTTCCACAAAAAAAAGAACATTTCTTTCATCATTGCTGATGATTGGAACAGATGATGGAAGCAACAACAACGATTTTGGAATGAAAAAATTACGTTATTATTTGCTTATGAGCACAAAAACAAATCAAAAATAATAATAATTTTCAAGAATCAATCGATCGATCGATCGATCGATCAAGTGTTTCTATCATCATCAACCTCAACAGTACATCATCATTTTAAATCGATTTGATCGCACAAGTATCAACGACGACGACGATAAACAAATTAAACATACATTAAGTGATGATGATCAACAAGAAGCCATTCATTCATTGATAATTCAGTGATAACGACGACGAACAACAAGTTTTTTTCGTTGTTTTTTCGACTTTTGTTGATAATTTACAAGAAAGTCACAAACTATCATCACCAAAAACATCATTTTTTTCATCGTTCAGCAACAAAGTTTCATTTTCATTTCATTTTGCTTTGTGTTTTTGGCATATCGTTATAAACAAAACAACATGGCGAATATACAGGAAAAAATTGATACAATCAATGAAGAATTAGAAAAATTACGATTACCACATAAATTAAAACAATATCGTTATTATGCAGAATGTTTAGAACAATTGAAAATATTGATATCATCATCGACAACAACAACAGAATCACAAAAATCAATAATGATTGAACAAATTGATCAACTTTTTACAAAACTTGACAAAACAGTTATATGTGGTGTTGATCAATGTTTTGTTTGTGGTACAAGTAATCAAAGAATAAATTCTTCGAAATTTTCATCAAAACAAAAACATCAACAAATTGATAAACAAAAACAATCAAATCAACGACAACAACAACAAACTAATGATCATAATAATAATGAAATTCATCAAAATCATCAACAGAATGGGCATAAGCATGATCATCATTCGAATGATGATGATGATAATGATCAATCGAATCAAAGTGATCGATTATTACAAACAATGCGTGAAAAACTTCGAAATACATCATCATCATCATCGCCAATTCCGAAAATTGTTGAAACAAAAATGATTGAAAATGAATTGAAAAAAACGGAAAAACATACCGAACAAGAATCCAATGAAATCGTTAATAATAAAGATGATAATGTTGTTGTTGATGATAAAGTTGTAAAGAATGTTGTAAAGAATGTTGTAAAGAATGTTGTAAAACAATGTGATGATTATATCAATAATGAAACGGTGATAAATACAAAACATGATGAACAAATCGATAATCATAATGACGATGGCCAAAAATCAATAATCAATGATGCTAAACAGAATTATCATAATGATAATGATAAAACAAAAACAATAGCCATTGTTATTGATAATAAAGGTAATCTAATCTCTTTTTCCATTATTCATTAATTTTATCCATATTTTTCCCCCTAAAATTATAATAGATTTATCGCCATCTAATGATCAAAATGGAAAGCAAAATTCAAATATTTTATCATCGCTATCATCAACAATATTGATGACACCAAGACCATTTCATAAACAACCAATATCGTCATCAATTACTGGATCATGTGGAAATAGTATCATCCATAATAATAATGATAATCATCATCATTCAATCATTTCGGGTCGTTCACCACCAATTATAAGTAGCTATAAAGCATATAAAGATTTTATTAATAATTATACAACAGCTACGGCTTCAACGACTGCTGCTGCTAATCTGATTAACGATCATCGATAAAAAAACGCAATCAAAAAACCACCCTAGCGATGTTTCAACGATTTTGTGATCCAGAAAACAAAAATCTGCATTTGAAGATGTGACGAATATTTATTTTTATTTAAAAAAAAAGAAAATTTCCAAATACAATTTGCTTCCTGAAACACAGAGAGAAACAAAATTTCACATCTTTCATCATTTCATTCATACCTATATATGCGTGTGTGTTATTCGGATTTTGTTATTTCGTTGTTTGTGATTTATTATTAATATGATTTGTTACTTATCGTTTGAAAGAAAAAAATATATATTTATAAAACTGTTTGATTTTGTTATCTGATTGATTGAAAAACTTTGTTGTTATTATTAAAATTATATTTTTGTTGGTTTGAAATAAAAGAGAAAAGAGAAATTTTTCTTGAAACAAACTCCGACGACCAGTTTTTTTCACACTTTTTCTTCGAGTTCATTACCTTTGAACAATGGATTTAACAATCAATGATTTTTCGTAAAAAAAACCAAAAATGAAGACATCAAAGGGGTTTTTTCACTTTTGGATGAAAAGAAAGTGAAAAGAAAGGAAAATGATTGGATGAATGAATCATCATCATTGATTGATTGAATGGATGGATGGCCTTCAAATATGGTTGGATACTTTCAATCTTCTTCTTCTTTACTTCGTCTACTACATCTGAATGATTCATATTGCATCTTTTCATTTCATTTCATTTCATTTAATCAAAATTTAAATGAATGAAATAAAACCTAATCAGTTTTTTGAATAATGATGATGATGATGATGATGATGAATGGATTGCTTTTATAAACATGCAGGCAACCACATAAATGAATAGGAAAGGAAAAATGGAAAAGAAAATGGAAAGTTTATTTCAAGGACAGCTACCAGTATTTTTTGTTTGTTTGTTTGTGAACATCCTCATGATCTGCACCATCGGAAATCTTTCTTATGTTTTTCTTTTGTTTTGCATATAGTGATTGAACAATAACAACAATAACAACGTAGTTAGACAATAGTTAAGAGATGTCAAACAACCAAAGTTGTTTTGATAACATAATCAAATCTAATCTAATCTAAATGAAATACCGATACTTTTGATCTGATTTGCTGTGTGTGTGTGTACATGTAATCTTAATTTACATGGAAAAAAATATGGAAATCTGTATGTAATAAAAAGCAATATCAAATTCCTCATCATCATCATCATCATCGACAAAAATCAATTTAAAAGTGTAACATTATTTTTTTTCTATTTTGACGTTCTTTTTTTTTATTTTGGATGAAAAATAATACCATTAAATTAATTAAGTGATTAGATTTTGAGATTTACAAATCAAAAAAATACTTGGGCGTTTTAAAAATTATTTACAAAAAAAAATTTAACAAAAGACGTATGTATTATTAAGATCCTTTTTAATGAGATTTTTTAATTAAATTATTATTTTTTTTAATAATTGAAAAAAATATATTTCAGTTCAATCATGCCATTCATCACTAATAATAACGATAATAATTCAATCAAATCATCCGGATCATGTCAAAAAATGTTTCCACAAGGTTCATATCGATCATATAAAAGTTTTCTGAATCATTATTCAAAAGAACAGCCATCGCAGATAAGACGTGTATCGAATGGATCGGTTCCGATGACTATGGAACAATCAACACCATCATCAACAACAAAATCGATATCATCAAGATCGGTTAAAAGTAAAATTGCTCAATTCGATCAACCACAACAACAACAACAACAACAACGATCATATTCAATACCGAATGATAACAAATCCAATATGACGATGATGATGAAAAGAAACAATAATAATGATCAAAGAATAATAATGAAAAATGATTTAAATCTAGAAAAATTATTAACATTATCATCATATGAAATTGAATTGCTTGATAAAGATGTATTGGAAAGATTTGTTCAATTGCTTGTTTCGGGACAGAAATTATCAACATCAACAACCGAAACATCGGGTAATGGAATTGATTTGAATAATAACGATAACAATAATAACAAGGATGATGATGACGATGATTCAAAAATATTAACGAAAAATAAATTAGAAACCGATGATGATGATATTGATCAATGTAAAATGAATCTAATACAATCATTGAAAAAACAATTGGAAAATTATCGACAAACTAAACAGATTGAATTTTGATCACTGCAATTACAAATTAATAATCCTCACAAAATTCTTTGGAATATTCTTTGGAAAAAGAATTTTATTCATTTTAAAACGGAAATAAAGTTTTGTTTGTTATTGTTGAAACAAATCCCTGATGATGATGTGTGTGTGTTATATTAGAATTAAAAGAGAAAAAAAGAATCAAAATCAATGTTTTTTTTTTGTTCAAATAATTCAAATAGTTTTCATAAATTCAATCATTAATTCACGAATTTTTTGTTCACATTCATCATATAATTCTTGATAATTATCATGTTTTTTAATCAATACCATTAAAGCTGGTCGTCGTACACCAATTGCTGATGATATATCCGTACGAAACGGTACATAAATGTATGGTATATCTTTATCTTCACAAACGGCCGGTAAATGGCACATAATTTCGATTGGTGTAACATCGCCAGCAAATACAATTATTCCACGTTCACCTTTACGTATACGAAGCTGTACTTCTTTTAATCCAATACGTAGCTGTTCTTTTCGTGATTGTTTACTTGCTTTACGTAATAATTTAAATATTTTTTTAGCCAATTTTTTTCCAGCCATTGGTTGAGCGATGACCGATACAAATTTCAATTTCTGATCATATGGTAATTGTATCATGTCACGTCGTGTTCGTGGAACAATTTCAACATTTTCACCACCATTTTCTATTAATTCATTTTTGATTGACATTTCATCCGTATTAGTATCGTCAAGTTGAATTGATTCATTAGATTTTTTTGATGTTTTCATCTTTTTACTTGATGGTTGTTGATCAACAAGAACTACTTCTTCGTGACCATCAACATGACCATTCGTATTTTCCAAACTTCGTTTATGTCCCATTTTTAAACTGTTTCTTGCACTGAAAAATGACATCAGAAAATTTTAATTAATCAACAACCACAAACAAACCTTGACTTACCGAACGTTATCTATCCTTATCGATAGTTAATCTGTTTACAACACGGAATATCAAAAGAAAAACAAAGAATTTCAACAAAAAAAAACTCAGATTCTCAAAAAAGAATTGTCTCATGAACGATCAACAAAAAAAAGCATGCATGCGCAGCATGTTCTATTTACACATGAAAAAGTCAGCTTCGGTTGATATAGGCAAAAAATATTCAGGGCAATTTAAGGTGAGTGTGTGTTTGTGTTTGTGTATTGATGTTGGTTGAATGTTTCTTTAGTTTTTGATTTGATATTGATGGTTGATAATTAATTGAAATTTTAAATTATAAAAATCCATATTTAACATCATGGCTTCGGGAAAATCATTGATGCAACTATCAAAATGTGCACTATCAACACAAGCAACGGGTCAAGCAACCAAAATGGTACGGCCACCGGTTTCAATGTTCGGTATTGATGGTCGTTATGCTACCGCTTTGTATTCAGCTGCATCGAAAAAAGGAAAATTACAACAAGTTGATCAAAATCTAAAAATGTTGTTACAACTTAATGAAAAAGATGTTAGATTTCGTGAATTTCTTATGAATCCATTGATTAAAGTAAGTTTGAATTTTTTTTTTTTGATTGATTATTTTAATGTTCTAATCTGTTTCCATCATTACAGCCGGCTCAAAAAAGGGAAATCCTAAGCAAATCACTTCAAGCTACATTGAATCTAGATGAATTGACCATTAATTTGTTGACAGTGTTGGCCGAAAATAGTCGTATGAAATTTTTACCATTAGTAGCACGTGCATTCAACAAAACAATGGCCTTTTCACGTGGTGAAGTTAATGTTACAATTACGGCCGCATCACCATTCGATGCTGAATCGAAAAAAGCATTGGATGAAATTTTACAAAATTTTGCTCCAGGTTTCAATCAAAAATTTTTTTGTTGTTGTTGAATTCATTGATCACTAATAATTTTTTTTTTTTTTGAATTTATTTTTAGGTAAAAAATTAATTGTCAGTGTAAAGATTGATAAAAGCATTCTTGGTGGTTTGATTGTCGATTTTGATGGTGAACATTATGTCGATATGTCAATTAAACGTAAATTTAATCAATATTCGAATATATTGAAAATGCCATTGTAATTGATTATAGAAAAATTAATGAAATTTAGTTTTTTTTTGTGTTTCAACAACAACAACAAAGTAATAATAATAATAATTTGAGAAAATAAAATTCTAATTTTATTTGAAATAATAATACAATGTTGTTATCTATAAATTGCTCGAGAAAATTTATTAAAAATTTTTGTACGGAAAAAAAATAAATTAAAAAAAAAATGGCTGGTGTTTATCTACGACAAGCGGTTCGTTCAATGCATACAAGCATTGGTTCAGGACCAAATTTTGAATTTGCAGCCACATCATGTCAAGGTTGGCGTAATACAATGGAAGATGTACATGTAATTATACCATATATGGATGGTGAAAATTCAACACATCAAGCATCATTATTTGCAGTATTTGATGGCCATAATGGTGTTGAAGTATCAACATATGCAGCAAAATATCTACCTGAATATATACGTCGTAATCGTAAATATCAAAGTGGTCATGTTGTTGATGGTTTAAAAGAGGCATTTATATTGTTAGATAATTCAATGTTATTAAGAGAATCTGTTAATGAATTACGTGAAATAAGACGTTTAATGCATCCAAATATACCGGAATATACACCAGGTTTTACAAGTGGATCAACTGCTGTTGTTTGTTTACTTAAAAATAATACATTTTATTGTGCTAATATTGGTGATTCAAGATGTGTATTATCAAGAAATGGTCGTGCTGTACCATTATCATTAGATACTAAACCGGATGATCCACATGAAATGGCTAGAATTGAACGTGCCGGTGGTACAGTAATGCGTGGTAGAATTAATATGCAAATCAATGTATCACGTGCATTTGGTGATCATATGTATAAATGTAATCCAGATTTACAATTAACTGAACAAATGATTATTGCATTACCGGATGTTATTGTTGAACCTTATAATGATAAAACTGATCAATTTATGGTATTAATGTGTGATGGTATTTGGAATTCAATGACAAATGATGATGTTATACAATATATTAGTCGACGTATACGTACTGATCGTTTAAGTCAAATAACTGAAGATATTATTAGAAAAATATTACCGGAAGAAATGCCTGAACGTGGTATACAAGGTAAAGATAATATGACTATTGTTATTGTTAAATTTTTAAATCAAGCAACAATGATGATGATGAATTCACCAGCATCAACCGCAACACCACAATTAACACAACAACAACAACAACAGCTACAACAACAACTACAGCAATTACAACAATTACAAACACCAGCATTTTTAATGGCACAAAAAATGTTTAGTAAAACAAATAGTGATAGAAAATTTAAATTAAAACTTCAACAACAACAACAACAACCACCACATTAACAACAAATATAAAATACCCGCATCCATCATTTTTTAAAAAAAAATCCTACAAACAAATGACAGAATAAAAATAATCAATAAAAAAAATTTTTATTCGTTAAAAAAATTACAATTATAAAACATGGACATGAAAATTATAAAATCATTTTAGATAAATTGCAAATTTTGTTTGAATGCAGAGGGCAAATGGAAAGATTCGATGATTCAATGATTCGGATATTGGAGGATTCAGTTGATGCAACATTTAAGAGAATTTTTAAAAAATGATGATCCAAAGCAGCAGCCAAACAGAGTAGAGTTGGTAAAGTTGAATCAGACGAGTTGAGCAAAACCATCATCATCATCATTCACAAATGGACAAACGTAAAAAAAGATAAGAATAGAATAAAAAACAACGATTCAGGATTCTTTAGTTTGTTTTTTCTTCTTTGTTCAAATTTTATCATTACAAATAATTTCTTGATATTTTTTCAATGAAATTTCATGAAATTTAAGCCATTGTATGATATGTTTGTTTACTTTTTTTTTTGAAAAACAAAACATTGATCGAATTCGATTGAAACAATGCAAAACAAGATAAACATAGAAAACAAAACAAAGAGAAAAAAGATTAGAAAAAAAAATTGCAACATTGAAAACAGAATCTGAATTTGACAGGAACAACCAATTCCAATTTTTTTGTTGTTAACTTACATTTTTCTTTATTAGCCATTTCTTTATCCGTTTTATAGCCCATCATACGTATGGCAGCATAAACTTTTAAATGTACAAAATTTTCAGCAGTATAACCGGCAAAATCTTTTTCCGCATGATCTAACCATTTTTTTGCTTCATCATGATTATTTTGTTCAATTTCAATTAGTCCCATTTCTAATGTTGCCATTGGTACGATTGATGTTTCTAATTCGATACGATCACGACTGAGAGAAAAAAAAATAAAGCAAAGAATAAGTGGTCGTCAGTTTTTTTCGGTATAAAGATTGTCATTGATAAAAGAAAAGAATGAAAAAAAAGAAAAGAAAATCAATTTTCAGTTTCTTGAAAGCAGAAACAAAAAAAAACCTCAAAATATAACTGTCAGTTTTTGATCAGGGTTTTGTTTGTTTGTTTGTTTCATTTTGAAACCACTGACCACACACACTAAAATGAAAAGAATTTTTTCTCTCTTTTCATTTGAAATTCTGGACAGTGATTTTTTCCACTACCCAAAGCAAAAGCAAAATTCCAATTTCAACAATTTTATTTGATTTTAGCCAAGAATGAAAAACTGTGGAAAATTTTTTTGAAAATGGAATCATGGATTTTTTTTCAATCAAATATCTATATCTGGGTCTATATCAAATAATAAAAACATCCGACAGATAAACAAACGACTGTTATTCGCCCAAAACAAACAAACAAACAAACAAATCATCATATTCTATGGATGTAACCATATTTGATTATTGTTGTTTTGAATGAAATGCAATGGAGCTGGTCATGCAAAAAAAAATATTTTAGTTTGGTGGATTTTTTTTGGGGGGGGGGAATTCTACTTGTAAAAAAATGAATCTTTGTTTCCCTCAATAATATCCTATGACCATCATAAACAGACTGATATGTATGTGTGCGTGTGTGCATATTGAGAAATCGGTCTTTAGGTCAATATTCATATATGGGATTCTTGTTTTTTTTTTTTTTTTTGGATTTGGTTTGGTTGAAAAAAAAAGTTACATTTTCATGTTCCGTGTCCGTGTCAGTGTCAGAGTAAATTTCTCTGCATGTTGTATGTGTGTGAATATATGTGGTATGAATATNTTTTTTTTTTTTTTTTTTGGATTTGGTTTGGTTGAAAATAAAAGTTACATTTTCATGTTCCGTGTCCGTGTCAGTGTCAGAGTAAATTTCTCTGCATGTTGTATGTGTGTGAATATATGTGGTATGAATATCAATGAAGGAAGAAAAAGGATAGGAAGATGATTATGATGAATTTTTTTTTGTGAAAATTTGGAACCGTTAAACCAAGAATAACTAAACTGAACAAAACTAACGAAAATCTCTCTCTATACACATAATATGGTGGTCCATTTTCATTTTGTTGCCTGATCCATATATGATGCGGGAAAATTGCTAAAAATACCAAAAAAAAATCATTGAAAGATCACCACCACCATCTTTTTGATGAACTTTTTTTTTGGTTTGGTGGATGGTCCACCAAAAAAACTGAGTAGTTGTATATTTTCATCAATAAAATGTTATTATTCATGAAACAGTAACAATAACAACAGCTCTACTTTTACAATGATTATGATGATGATGTTTTGATGGATCATTCATCCATTCAGAATGTTGATGATGATGATCCAAGTAGAAAGAAAAATGTTGCAGAAAAAAACAAGAATCATCATCATATGAAAACGAAAGAAAGAATCGAAAAAAAAATGAAACGAAACAATCTCTCTCTCTTCGGTCTCCGGGTGATCCATCAAACAAACAAAAAATGAAACAATTTCGGCTCGATTCTTGGCAGTAGTTTTTCTGTTGTTGTTGTTGTTGCCCAACCAGAAACCAAGAGAGAAACTTTCACTCTTTTTTTCTCTTGTTGTTGTTGTTGTTGTTTTTTAATGGAATCACATGTTATATAACATTATGATGTTTCGACAACAACAAAAAAAACATCATGTTATTTAACTGATAAGTAATATGCAGAATTGAACCGGAAAAAATTTTTTTGGAAATGAATGAATGAATGATTAGGGAGGAATGAATTTTATGAATATTTTTTTCTGTTTTGTTTTCCCATTGGGAAATTGTATCATAGAATAATGTAATGGAGGATGGTTGATAATAATGGGGTTATATGGTTGATGAAATATGAAATTTTTTTTTGAACAAAATTATACATACGAATCAAGTATAAATTGAAGATTTTTCCGTGCATCAACAAACCGTTGTTGTCGTCGTAATAGAACACATTTATAGAATAATGCCGTTAGATAATTATCAAGATAATGTGAATTTTCTAGAGAGGGGGTGGGGGAAGGGGTTAACAAAAGTGAATTTAAATTTTTTTTTTTATAAATAAATTAATAATTAAAATTACAAGCAAAATAAAATCAGCTAAAAATAACAATGAAATGGGTACAAATATAATCGAACAACAGAATTACTGGCGGCTAGAATCATCATATTCTGTAGATGAAAATGATGTTGATGATTACAACTTACCAATATCTTGTTCATAAAGTTTTACTTCACGTTCACAACGTTCCATTAGTTTGGCCAATTGATCATGATCACGAACAAACATTAAATAATTTCCCGAATAAAGCATTGCCTATTTGAAAGAGAAAAAGAGAAAACGTTAACGAAAACAAACAAACAAACAAAATATGATTAATAATTTTTTTTTTGTTTTTCAAAAACCGAAAATCAGATAAAAAAATACTTATACTTACAATAACGGGCAATACAAGACATTTTCCTTTTTTAAAATATAATGCTGCATTTGCTAATGCAGCTTTTTCAGTTGTCATTGTTTTACCAAAATGTCTAATACGAAGACTTGGTAATCGTCTATTTGTGAGAGAAAAAAACATTGAAAAAAGAGAAGAAATGAAAAATGCAAAGTTTTGATTTAATTTTTGATTTTAAAAAGAGAAAAAAAACGATAAGAATCAATGAATCAATCAGCGCAAGATTGACAACGATCATAAAATCATCGATATTCTGATTCTGGCCTAAAGATATATATGAAAAATGGAAATTTTTTGAAGAAAAAAAAAATCAATCATCAAAAAATCAAAACAGTAATGTTCATGACAAGAGAATTTTCCATTGAAAAATACTATAGTGAATAGCCTAAAGCAATGATGATTTCTTTTTCTCCTATTTATTATTGGAAGAATTGAATTTTTGTAAAAGCAAAAAACTTATCATTATCGATGTTATTGAAGAAAATATATAACGGGAAAAACTTTTTTTTTTGTTGTACCTATAGAAAACATTATTATTAAAAGATCGTTTTCTATTTCGACCTGTACAATGTTTTCATTTTTTTTCTGTTTCATTTTCGTGATATTAATCGATTCAAACTTTTTTTTTCTCAAAATTCTTTATGAACATGGCTATCATATGGATCACGCTATGGATCATCGCTATGTGTGTTTTGGTTCACATCATTTATTTGCGTGTTTGTTTGTCTATTTTTATTTTTTTTACGGGGCAAAATGGAAAACTTTTTTTTTCTCAGTTTGTTTCATCCATCAATAGCACACAAAGAATTGATGAAAATCTTCATCAAAAAATAAGAAAAAAAAATTCTTTTTGTTTTTTCTTTTTTTGGCCAAAAACTAATTTGATGAAAGAAGAAGAAGAAGAAGAAAAGTTTCCAGAAAAACAATTCCCGAAAAAAATTCTCAATTATTATCATTAACTATCGTGCCAATATATTTTTTTGCAAAAATAAGATCCACTTTGCTGAATCGAAAATGAAAAACAAAATAACAAAAAATAAAAAAAAACTTAATAATGTTTAATGATGAAACAAAAGAAAACTGTAAAAAAGCCAACTAAAAAACTAATTTTATCTAGCTAAAAAGACAAAAAGATTAACTGAAAATTTGCCAAATTTTCAAGGAAAAAAATGTTATCATTTTAATTGTTGTTCAATTTTTTTCTTGAAATAAGCGAATAGAAACAATTCTTTAAGGGTAACAATATTCTGTATTTCTTATTTCCGGAAATTCATTATGTTGCAAAAAAAAAAATTCTATGACAAATGTTTCAAGAAGAAACAGAAAATTATTCATGAATTTTTTTCCCCTCCATATGTTTCATTGTTTTCTTGGGAATGAAATTGAGAGAGTGAAAGAGAAATTAAAATGAAAACTTGAAAATTAAATTCTTGAAAATTTTTCCGGAGAAAATTCTCCAAAAAAGAAAAAAAAAAATCTTGAAAGAAATTCTTGAAATAGATTTTTCAATTATAAATTGAAAAATCTCGTTCGGAAACATTATGGGGCAAAAAAGGGTAAATTTTTTTTCGGGGTGATGCACAAAAGCAATGTAATGAAACAAAAAAGAAAAACTTACTCAAATTCTTCAGATGCTTGATCCAATAATTGTTGATTTTTATCATCAACACCTTTTACATAACGAAAAACAGCATTCAAATATGCCATACAAACAGGTGAATGTTTACTTTCACGTATTTTATCCGCACATTCAATACAATTATTCCAATCCAATTTGATTGCATAACACCAAATTAATTCAAAATAAAATGCTTTATATGCAATGGCAAGATTCGGTGCTCGAACTAAACCTTGTAATATTTCAATAGCACGATCAAATTCACCATTAATTTGTTCAATTTTAGCTTTAGCTAATCCATATAACATGCTCTGTATTTTTTGAAAAATAAAGAAAAAAAAATTAAATTATATTGCAAGAACAAAAAACAGAAGAAAAGAAAATCAATTAATCAAACAGAAGAAAAGATCCAATCTTTGTGTTAATAAAAGGCAAAATGACATCATCATTTGGAATAAAGTGAAACAAAAAAAAGGTGATTAAGAAATCAAATCACATAACATAAAATCATCATCATCATTATCATTATCTATCTATCACTTTTCTAGATTTTAATCTAATTAATGTTTTTCTAATGAAAATTTATACGATTTTTCTGTTTTCTCTGATGTTTGTATATGGCTTGAATTCTGTAAGAATAATGAGAAAAGATTTTTATTTTGGCTAAAATTAGAATTTAGAGAAGAGAAAACAAAAGAAAAGTGAAAGAAGAAAAAAAGGTTAAAACCCGAGAGAAAGAAAAAAGGAAACGAAAAGGAAATTGGAAAAAGTTTTTTTCGAATCAAACTTTTGAGAATAATAATCAAAAAGAAAGTTTCCAGAAAAAATTGATGATCAACCGGATATTCACGGATATTGTGAATATAAAAATTCTAATCAGAAAAAAAAAATTCTTATTTTGGTTTGAAAGTTTTTTTTTCTTCTTCAAAAACGAAGAAGAGAAAATTGCCGAAAACTTTTATTTTGGAAACCTTTTTTTTTGATAATGATGATCATTATATAATAACGACGACAGTATAGTAGTCGACATTGTCACAATTTAACACCTCATCATCATTATGATTTAACATGGATTTTAATGACTATTTACACCTAAGTTAAGAGGTAATTTTCGTTGCTTCATAACGATGATAATAAAAACAACTTGGTAAAACTTTTCTAAGATTTAAATAGAATTAGAAATAAAAAAACAAACCTGTGGAAACATTTGTAATTCAGCTTCAATTAATTTTTTACATAATGATAAATCATCGGGTACATTTTCACCATGTGGTTTACCATAAACCCAATAATAAATAAGTGTTAATTGTGCCATTTTTGTCCAATAACCGGCATTCAAATCAAATGCAACACGATTCATTTCATTTAAACCGATTGTTTCAGTACCCTTATAACCAAGAAAATTCATAATACGCAAAAATTTCGGTGGTGTATGGCTAATGACAACATTGATCATACCGTTAGCAAAACGCATATGTGCTTCAAAATATAACCGTGCATGTTCATCTTGCCATAATTTACGACGTTTTTTCACTTGCCATAATTCACTTTGATTTGGATTTGGATTAAAGAATGTTTTTTTTCAAATTACAAAATTGAAAACAAACAAACAAACAAAATTCAAAGAGCAAAACTTACTTATGTTTACGTACTAAACCACGTAAATGATAGGCCAATTTAATCAATGTAAAAACACTATTTGTTTCAAATGCATACAATGCAATCGATAATGCCAATTGTTGTGCATAATAACTTTCGGCAAATATTTCCACTGATTTGGAGTATAAAAAAAACAAAAAATTAATATTGATCATTTTATATTGATCAATTTCTCGTAATGAAATATACTTTGTATATTTTTTTCATTATTGAATGAATTCCTTTGGGTTGGTTTCTCGGTTTCATTCATTCATTCATTCATTCATTCATTCGATGTTGTTATGAAATTGTTCATTGATTCGAAAATAGATTTTTTGTTTATGTTTGTTTTTTTTCTCTATTATATTCTATCAAGATCATCAAAATTGATTGTTATTGTTTTCATCAACAGAATTTCATTTCGAATAAATCAATCAATAAAAAAGAATTTGGGTCAAAAAGAAATTATCTATAATGATTAGATTCTATCTAGAATTCCTGTTGTCTAGGTTAACGAAAAAAAACATTCCGAATCCTTTTCTGTTTGTTTTTGAATTCAAAAATTCACTTTCTTAATTTGAAATTTGTCTACGAAACTATGAAACTAATGATTATCATTCGCACATTTTGCTCAACGAAGAAAAAATTTGGGTTTTTACTTTTTTAAATAAATAAAAAAAAATCCAATAATACATACCATCAGTATATTTATCATAATTTGGTGCAACAATCCATTTAGAAATATTATCAAAAAATGAATGTTTCATCATTTTTTGACACATTTTGGCCGTATGTTGTAAACATTTATGTGCTCTTTCAATATCATCCTACAGCAAATGAAAATGGAAGAAAAAAAGAAGAGAGAAAGAAACAAAAATATTAAAACAAAATGAAAAAAAAACATTAAAAGCGAATATGGCGATGAACAAAATGATGAAAATTGAAACAAAAATTTTTTTCCAAATTGATAAGATACAAAATGGAAATTTCGTTCATGAAACTTTCAAATTGCACAACATTCTTCGTTCGTTTCATATCAATAAATTATATTAACGTTCGAAACGAAAAGAAACGAAAAACGAAAAAACGAAAAACAAAATTTTCAATTTCAAAATGTTTTGACTTGGATGAACAAAAAATGTTTTCTCCATGAATATCATCATCGACAACAACGATAACGACAACAACGGAGAACAAAGAATCAAACGATGATCATTATTATTATCAACGATAATGGTAATCATCGATGATTATCGATGATGATGATGATCGAAAAGGAAAAAAGAATAGAAAAATTTTAAAACTTTAAACAAAAAAAAAGAGTTCATTCGATCGTTATCATCATTATCTATTATCTTAATGATGTTTGCTTCGATTTATACAGAATCAAATGAATGGTGTGGAAGAATGAAGAAAGAAATTCTTCTTCTTCTTTTACTGGATTCTCTAGGATCCAGAATAGAATCCATTCATTATCATCATCATCGTCTTTGTCGTAGTCGTTTTTTTTTCGGTTATTGTCCCAAGTCGATTGACAAAATGAACTGAGGAAAAATTGCTTGGAAAGAAAAGAAGGTCAGAAATCAAGCAGGAAAGATCTAGTCGATTTTTTTGTTTTGTTTGATTTGGTTTGAAGAAAACGTGTGAGAATCGAATCCAAACAATCATCATAATGATGATGATGATGATTTGGAATAAAACTTTTTTTCTTTTTCTTCTTCTTCGTTTTCCGTTTGATTCATAATATAATGATGTTGATGAAATCGATGTGACACTGTTTCTCTGCTGCTGTTGTTGTTGTTGTTGTCGTTCTACATTCAACATTTACAAAAACAAACTTTTCAAAATAGATTTTTTGATTTTCGCTTTGTAAAGATTCTCTTGATTAGATGATGATGATAATGACGATTGTAGAAAATAAAGATGTTTTTGCGCGAAACAACGAAAAAAACTTTTTTTTCAAAGTTTATCAATTTGATTCGATTTTTGTGTGTTTGTTTCTAGGTTATCATCAAGAATCACAAAAGATTAGGTTAAAAAATTGTACCCAAAGAACAATCAAATCAAAAACAAAACATATGAAAAAGTTTCTGGTTTTGTCTTGTTTTACTGGATGATGATAATGATTTTGTATTGTGAAAAAAACTTTTCCGGAAAAAGTTTATTTGGAGAAACAAAAAAAAAAAAAATGAAAATTAACTTACTTTATCAAGTGTAAGACCGGCACGTATTACAAAACAAGCAGCCCATGATAATGATTCCATTGGACCTTCATCAATAATATCGGCAAAACGTTCAATACCACCTTGTACATTATTTTCACCAAGATACATATCTAATGCACAATTTGCACGTTGATGTGCTAATGTTAAATTATAATTTTCGATTGATTGTTGTCCAGGACGAAATAATTCATCAAGATTTCCATGATTAAAACTGAATCAATCAAAAGTTTTTATTTTATTTTATTTTGTTTTGTTTGTTTGTTTGTTTGGTTTCAAAAAATTAATACCAAAAATCGATTGTTTGATTTTGATTGATTTTTAACACTTACCTTTCATAAAGATAACGACCAAATGTTTTACCAATCACCATTGATCCATTTGATTTATCATTATGATTATGATTGTTAATTCCATTTGATTTTGATTGATTATTACCGTTTGTCATCAACAAATTATTATTATCCACAGAACCATTGGTCATTTTTTTAGCCATTTTTGGTTTGGATAAAACTCACTTGGTTGATTGATTATGAATCACTTGATTTGATAAAATATCACTGAAATTGAGAATCACAAATGATTGATTGATTGATTGAAAATCACAATCAATTTGAAGAAATTACTAAGAAAAAAAAAATCAACGATTTTTATTACAAAAAAAAATTTCTTCTTTTTTTTCCCGAAAACAAAAAATCAAAAATTCCTCGTGATTTACATCAACATTTTTTTGTTTTTGGGTAAAATTCAACAAAAACAAAAGGAAATTGTGATGCGTTCGATGACCACGAATGATGATGATATTTTCGATGACCAACACAAAAAAAAGAAACTAATGATTAGTTATCTGTTATCGTGATAAAAACCACCACCACCACCAAAAAAAAAGAAAAAAAAAGAAACAACCTTGATTATTTGTTCACCATTTCAAAAACAAAACAACCAAAAAAAAACTTTCATTTTCATTTGATTTTTCAAAAACCCAAAAAAAAATTAATCAGTCAATCAAACAAGGAAACAAGGAAGAATTTCTTTGGTTCAAAAGTAGCAATAATAACCAATGATAATAACAAAAACCAAACAAGGAAAAACAACAACAACAATTTTTTTGGACACTTTTCAATCAATGATGATAACAAGGATGATAATGATGATGAAAGGCAGCAGTTCAGATAAATATTATCGAAAAACACCGATAACAAAAAAATTTAACGAAATTAAATCCTGAAAATCAATTTTCAGGATTTAATTTTGAAAGAGAGAAATTACGCAGAGTGTTAAATTGAATGAATGGATGGAGAGAAAATTTCATTTAATGTTTGCTTGAGATGATTTTGTCGTAAATGATGAATGAATGAATCAATGAACGATAATGATGATGATTGGTGGATTGGATTAATCAACAAAAAAGTAGCAGAAATTTCGTTCCCTTCGTATTTCTTCTATTACATAATCAATATTTACATTCGATCGATGATGATGAGGATTGCATCAATTGAATTATGAAGTAAAAAACATGTTTTTTTGGATCATTTAAAAATGATAATTTTTTTTCTTGTTGAAAATAGCTTGTTGCATTTTCAAATTCAATGAAGAAAACATGCGCTTGTTTACTATTTAACAGCTTTTCGTTTCTCAGTTATATAATCAGTTTCTTCAAGACAAACATCCACATATAGCCGCATCCATTTGGCCTTAAAGTATTTTTTGTGGATTTGAAAAGAGAAACAACAATGAAAGAGCAATATATGAAAACAATGCGATTGGAGTGCCATTTTGATGTGAAGCGGTAATCATTGTAAACATGAATGGATACAGTATACTTTCGATTATATTTTCATCACAAAAGTTGACGATTATAAATATATAAGAGAATTATTAATCCTTGGTAGTTGTAGTTTAATTATAATTTTCATTTACATTGAAAATTTCTGATCATCATTAAATCCTGTGAAACAAAAAAACCATGGATTTCTAAAAAAAAGGGAGAAAGAGAGAGTGACAAGAAGAAAAAAAAGGCCATGGCCATTGTTTTAAACATTTCAATTGAATAAAATAACATTTATTTCATAAATGATGATGATCGGTTGCATTGATTGATTGATTATATCATAGTTATTTAATATCAATCGATCCATTGAGAAGCAATGCAAACAAACAAACAAAAAAAAAAGAGAAAAACAAACGAATTTCTTACCAAAAAATGAAAAGTGGAGAGATACAAGTTTAATTAACGAACAAAAAACATTGAAAATCGTCAAAATAAATGAAGAGAAGAAGAAAAAGATAAGTTCTTCAGGCAAGAACGGAGAACGAAAAAAAAAGATTATTTTCAGCATTTAAATATTGCTAAATAGATTCTGGATCATTCGATTTTTATTTTCGACCATCTTTTTTTACTTAAAATAAAACAAAAATGAATAAATGTTTGACATTGAACTAGATTGTTGTAACATATCATTCTCATTTTTTCTGTCTCTCTTTTTTCTCAATTCCAAGAAAATATTGTTGTTTTTTTTTTGGGCAGAAATAAACATCCAAACATCATTCGAAATTGTTTAATAATTATCTAATTATCTTTTCATCATGGCCATTGATGATGATGGCTATATACACACATTACTTCATCATCATCATCTCTCTATTATTATCGCATGTTTCTTGTTTTGGAACTGTTTTTTGGATCCAATGGATTCAATGTTGAACGTGTTTAGGCTGTAGCTATGGCATTTCAAGTTGATAACCAAGCCAAAAGAATGAAAAAATGAAATCGAAATCGATCAGTTTAGAAATGGAAATGAATTTTTGGTTTAAAGATATTTTTCAATGGATACTTTAAGAATCGAAAAAGTAAACATATTCTATCGATTTTTATCTTATATTTCATCATGATGATGATGATTGTCATTGAGAAAACTATTTGAAAAAAATGAAAAACTTGAAATTTTCTGAAATTTGAAAAAATTTTGTTAGCAGAGGCAATTTTCTTTTGTTTTCGAGAGAAAAAACCGCAAACAATTTCTTTTACTTTCGCTTTTTGTTTGTCGATTCCATCATCATCATCATCATTGAATTGGGTATCCCTTGGTGAAAAACAGAAAAATTCAATGGAAAAACTAAACGCACACGAAGTATGTTTTGGAACCAAAAAACAAAACAACAGAATTTTCAATCAATAAATTTTTTTTTGTTATTTTTTTCCATTTCCTTGCCAACAACGGCAACCAAAAAACCGAACAAGACAATAAAGGGGTTAAAAAAAATTTTCAATGTTGAGTTTTACATACAAAATGAATTTTTGTAAAAAAAAAAATTTACAAATTTTGTTTCGACGATGTAAATGATCTGTTAATGTTTTTTGTTTTGTTTTGTTTTGAATATAAATTCTGTTCTGGTTTTAACATGGAATCTATTTTTTAAAAAACCAGAATAATGATGACAATAAACGAATGACGAATGATGTTAATTCCAGATGAAACAAGTTCTATTGTTGGTATAGTTGATTTTTGTTTGATTTTTGACTTTTGAAAGAAAAAAAAAATATTAATCATCATCAGTGATCGGTCCATTATACCAGTGGAAATTTCACTTTTTTGTCATCACAACCAACCAACCAACCAAATCATCATCATTCTGGTTTTGATCATTTTTATTTCCATTGTTCAGTTGAGTTTAGATTTTTTTTTCTCTGGATATTCACAAAATTTCGAGGTCGATGTTCGACAATTTGATAATGTTAATGCTGATGGTGTGTGTTTGAAAGTTATGAAGGATTTTACAAGAAGAGGGAAAAACGATTTTTTCCCTTCATTTTGAATTTTGACGGTTTTTCATTGATTGTAAATTAATGGCCCCTGAAAATATGGCAGAATAAAAGTGAAGAATCATCGAATCGAACAAACGAACGAATGTCGTTAATGTTGTGTAACGGATATCATATTTGTCAGTGTCGAATCATTTGTTATCGATTTAGGTTTACAAACATCGTTCAAAACAACAGAATTATAATCATAAAAGGAAAGTAGAAATGTAGAAAGGAATTATTTTTTTTCCAAATGATTTTTCCAAAGGTTTTTTTCGTTTTGTCTAACATTCAACTATTTCAACCATGCCAGCAGCTTTTGATGAAGAAATATTAAAAATATTATCTTGTGAATTGGCCATAGTTGTCATAATGCCTAATTCATGTTGTTGTGATGTTTGTGTTATTATTGAATCACGACGTTGTTGTTGTTGTTGATGATGATGATTATCACTAATTTTAATTGCCATTTCATATGGTGGTGGTGGTATTTCTTCCATTATCATCATCATTTGATTATGATCAGTATTTATTGAACGTTGTTTAATTATTTTGCCTGGTATTAATGATGATGATGATGATGATGACGGTGTCGATGATGATAATGACGGTGGTGATGTCGATGGTGGAAATCTTTGCGATTGTTTCGTTGAAATTATCTGATTATAATCCGGTGGTGGTGTATTTATCTGATGTTGATCAATATTACTATTATTATCATTATAATCAGAATTATCATCCGAATAATAATTATCATTTGAATGTGGATGATGATAATTTACTGATGAAACAAGATTAAAATAAACATTTTGATCGTTATTATTATTATTATTATTACAACCACCGTTACTACCACCACCGTTATTACAACCACCACCATTATTATTATTTAAAACATTAGAATTTATCCATTGATCACAACGTATCATTGTTAAACGATTACTAATACTATAATTATGATTATTATTTAAAAATGATTGTCGTTGTTGTTGAGATTTTTTTGTAAAACAAAATGGATAAATAAATGTTAATAATAATAATATTATTATTATCGATATTAACCATAAATTTGATATGATTGATTTATGACGTGGAAATGTTAATTTTTCATTTGTAAATTCTTGTTGTTGTTCATATTCATCATTTGTTGTTGCTGTTGTTGTCATCGGTTTTGTTGTTGTTGTTGTTGTTGAAATTTTAATCGGATCATGATAGATAAATAGATAAACAATCAAATTGAATATCATGAATATTATCAATGTTATTGTGATTGTTATGGATTTTTTCATTTTCAGGTTTTATTTGTGTTTTGTCAATTTTAAGGCAGAGAAAAAACAAAGTTAAAATATTCAATTGGAAATTTGAATAATCCTTTCAGGACGATTTGAAAGTGAATTGAAAGCGAAACAAACGAAATTTCTTTGGTTTTCTAATATGGCAAAACCAGAAAAAAAGATCATTATTAATTTTTCATTGTTGTTGACGACAACAATGATGATGATCATGGTTGTCAATGGTGAATTACTGGATCGATTTGTTTTTTTTTTCTACAGGAAATTCAAACACGCACAAAGTTTTTCACAATTCAATTCTATTAGTAATCATCAAGTGCAGTACATTGCGGAGGTTGTTGTTGTTGTTTTGGTTTTTGATTCTCGATATTTTTTCATTTTTTTTCTGTACCAAGGTAAAATGAGGTAAAGTATGCAATCGGATTCGGTATATTTTTGGCCATCGACAACAACAACAATGAAACGCAGTCGCAAATTTTCATTTTTTCAAATTCTGAAAAAAACAACCGGTGAAAATAAACCATCATAATTTAGATATCCAGAATAATAATCGTCATCATCATCATTATCAATTCATTTGGGAATTAAAATTCTAAAAATACAAAATTTGGGTTTCGTTTGTTTGGATACCAGACAAATTCCAAAAAATGGAAAATTATTCCTTGCTTTATTTGTGTTTGTTTTTTTCCTGTATTCCGTTGATATATTTTTTTTGAAAAATATTGTTTGAAAGTTTTCAATAATTTTGCCCAAAAGGCATTATCATTATCATTATTCTGAGAATCCGAAAGAACGAAGGACATCCAAAACAAACAAACATTCATTATTTTCACTCATTCATATTGCAGAATTTCTTCTTCATTTTTAATGTTTTGTTTTGTTTGCAAGTGTTACCGGTTGTCTTGGTTTTTTTTCCTTGAAAAATTTTTCGGAATTTAGAAAAATCAATCCGAAAAAAAAGTCAGCCGGTCGATCGATCGATCGATCGGTTGGTTTGTGTTAAATGCTGTTTTCAAATTGTCAAGGATCTTTGTCAAATCAAACCAAAGAAAAACCAAAACCAGTGAAGAAATAACGAATATTATTAGCATTTTTTCATCATTATCTTTCCAAAGTTTCATTCATTCAATCGCTGTTGTTGAAAACTACTCCAGAGAAGAAGAAAAAAAATCAAGAATCTTTTGTCATTTTAAGAAAATTTTTTAAGCGGCCAAACAAAAAAAAAAGAAATCATCATCATTCATGCACTCAAGACGAAGAAGAAGAAGAAGAGCCTTGAAGCATTTCGGTTTTTTTTGATGTTGAAATTCATGAATGTCGTATATATTCTTATTCTTCTTCTACTTGTTTCATCGAATCATCATCATAATAATAATGTCATATAATAACAGCAACAAAAACATTGAAGAGAACATCTTACACAAGAATTATTAATAATAATAATAATTTTTTTTAAGAAAATTTTACTTCCATAACAGACATAATCTACTTTTATGTGAAGAAAACCGAAAAAGAAAGAACAGAATTATTCTTGAGAAATTTATCATTTTCTCTCTCTGTTCTTATGTACCAAAAGAACTTTTACTGTAATGTTTTTTTGCCAGAAAAAGGAATCCAAAAATGCGAAAAAAACATGAACAAGAATCTCCAAGTTCAGTGAAAAAAAAAGTTAATGACTCTTATCTATCTTCTTTTTTTTCTTTTTTTCTTTTTTGCATCCGAAATGTTCAGTCATAAACGTGCAATGAACATGGAATATTATTCATTCAGCGAAAGAATATATAAAATGACACATTACATTACATTACATAACATTACATTCTTGTGAAATATAAACATTCATTATATTCAACCATAATACCGAATTTTTTTTTTTGTTTCTTTCAGTCAGGTTTATTTTTTACCCACCACAAAATAGTTTTTCATGTTCATTCTAATGTCATGACCGATCGGTGTTTTTTTTTCTTGTTTCGAAACTAAGATGAATATTTGCATCGTACATTTACAAAAATGGTGTTTCTGTGTCGATTCTTTTGTTGTTGTTGTTGTTAGATGAATGATAAATTATTAATCGATGATGCTGATGACGATGAGAATATTCATTCACAAATGAAGAAATATTCTACACATTTGGAATGTGTAATTAGTGAGAAGAAAAAACTTTCAACTTTTTTTTCATCATCAATCGAATAATGTTAAACAAAACAAAATAAAAAGGTCAATTCCATATTGGAAATGATAAATGTACGACATGAATGAATCGTTGATGTTGATGACCAGACAAAACGACCAAATAAATAACAATTAAATTTTTCGTTTGTTTGTTTGCCTGTTCGTTTATTTTGATTAAATTATTCATTGAATGTCCAACAGTAAGAAAAACCAGAATAAGAATAAGAAGAATTTGAATGTTTATGGATTTTTTATGGCTATAAATTTTGATTATCCAGATTTTGATTTCATTCCATTCTGCTTCTGTTTTTCTTTCCAGAAAAACTTCCCAAAAAAACAAAAGACAAACCAGAACTTGTATCCATTCTGGTATTCTGGTGTTTGTTCAACAACAAAGACAACAAAAATTAAATAAAATACATTAAGATCGAGACTATTTCACAATTTTTTTTTATTATTTCATTATAATTTCATTTTCAACATTTTTAGTGAGAAATGATATATACACATTGATACACCACATATATACACAAAAGAAGAGAAAGAAAAGAAGAAAACAAAAAAATATTACATAAAACAAAAGATCAAAGATAAAGATAACGATAAAAATGAATCTCAAAACAAAATGAATGAACAACGAATGAAATGAGAGAATGTTTTGAAACATTTTTCTTTTGCTTTTTGCTTTTTGCTCTCTATCTAGTCGTTGTTAAAGATGAGCGCCAAAGTTGTTGTTGGCCCAAAATGAAGAACTTTTCTTTTCTTTTTTATATATATCCACAAAAGAATAACAAGGAAGAAGAAAAATGAATCCACTTTGGGCTTTTTTTTCTTGTTGTTGTTGCTGATTCTGGTTACTGGTTTAGTCCCCAAAAAAATTTAGGCAAACAAACAACAGCAGCAAAACAATGGAAATGGAAATCCAGAAAAAAAAGTTTTATTTTTCGAAAAAATCCTCAGTTTTTTTTATTGTTGTTGTTGTCCATTCTGGCTTGTTTTTTTCGAATGAAAATTTTATTTTCTTCAAAAAAAACAAACACAATTTTTGGTTGTCGATTCGATTTTTCATTTTCGTTTTTTTGTTTGGAAGATTTGAAACATATCCTACCATCAACCAGCATCATTTTCATCTAAAAAGTTTACAATGTGAATGAATGATTGTTGTTGTTGTAGTTGTAGCGCCAACCAATTTGGATTTTTTGTTGTTGTTTTGTTGTTGCCATCTTACATCAATTCAATTCAAAGTTTGCCAGAAAATAAACTGAGAATATTTGGCTGGTTGCTGTTGTTGTTGAACAGAGGATTTATTTCCGAGGTCATTATTATTATCTGTCATCATTCTGTTGGTTGGTTCAACCAAGATTTGTTGTTGTTGTTGTTTCATCGATTCATGGATTCTGGTCTATTAGGTTTTTCCAAAAGTAAGAGAGAGGCAGGAAGAGGAAAAAATGATTTATGAAAACTGTAAAGTTTCGTTTGGAAAGGAAGATTTTCCTAAAAGATTTTTTTTTCATCGTTAATAATAATAGGCCAGAATAAGGTGAGTGAGCAGCAGGTAAAAAAAAAGAAAAGAAAATATTTGTGTGTTTTCAAGCTGTGTGTGTGTGTATTATTGCCATTCAAACACAATGGATATCACATTGATGATGTATCGATCGATTGAGATGATTATAATTGGTTTCTGGTTTTTTTTTTAATTCTGATCGTCAAACTTGATATTCAGCTTTATGAAAATCTAGTGAAAAGAAAAGTTTAGTTTAAAATTTTCTATTTTTGATTTCTTTGAAATTCTTACCTTTTTTGTTTGCTTGAGCAATTCTAATGAGAATGTTTATGGTGAGGTGATGGTCATTATCAAAATCAAGAAAACGAGAGAAACATTTCGTAAACATTCGATTCAATCAATATAAAAAAAAAATAAACTTACTGTTTCAATGTAACTGGACTACCATGATGTGAATGTGTACCATTAACACCATCCATTACCGGACATGTAACCATCATATAAGCTAGAAAAGAGCCAAAAAAACCAGAAAAAAAAAACAAAATTAGTTATCACATCATTTTCATTGATTCATTTTCATTTCATAAATGAATATTCCATTCATTCATTTTGTTCTGGGTTTCAACAAAGCAAAAAAAAAATTATCATTTTTTTCTTCTTCTTTTGAACAAAAAAAAAATGACAGACAAAATCAAACAAGAAAATTTTTCACCATCATCCATACAATCATTATATGAACCAAACAACAAAATACGATAGGGATTTAATAATTAAAATTGATTACCATGAAAGAATTAGTGAAGAAGAAAACAAAAAAAACAAAAAAAAAACAAAGATCCATTGGTATTCTCTATTTCCCTTATTATTATTATTATTTTACTAATGCTTTTTTCGGCGTTTGCAACCGAAGAAAAAGAAGAAAAAAAAACAATCACTATGTGGATAGATATTTTTAGATTCATGAATAAATATAACATTCATTCATTCATTCATTGTGTTAAAATAGTCTTTTTTCTCTCCTTCTCTTTACATAGTTAGATCTAATAATGTTCCAAAATATATTATTTTTTTATTTTTTTTTTTGGTTTTCGAATTAATGTCACGATCATCAACAACAACCACTAACGAAGAAGAAGAAGAAGAGAAAGATGCAATGACATTTTTATTATTTTGGATGGTAAAGTCCACACCATTTTCCTTTCATAAACCAATATTGTGAATATTTTATTTCAAGAATTGAAATGAAATTTTGAATCTTTTTTTCACCTTTCTCTATGATTTTTTTGTTTTGTTTTTGGTCTATTTTTCATAATAAATTATGATGATGATGACAGCCTTAGTATAACATTTTGATTGATTAAATGTGGATTTTTATATATTTCTGGTGACCAAAAGGTAGTCATTGGTCATCATCATTCAGCTTGAATGATTTTTTTTTGCAGGTAACTGAATGACCATCAACAATAATCATGGTAAATGGGCGAAAAAAACGCTATTATTATTATTATGAAAATGGAACAAAAAAATTCTCAGGAAAACAAACAGGAAAAAAACACACATACCTTTTTCCATTTTTCTTTGTTTACGTTTATTACAAATTTTTACAGCACAAACTGATAATATTATTGCAGCAACAAAAAATAAAACACTACCAACAACACCGGCTGTTATTGCACGGCTACCTTTCATATTACCACTGGTATCTAGTGAAAAAAAAAGATTTTCAAATTAAAAAATGAAAAATGAAGTTAGAAAAAGAATCATCATCATGGGAATATGTTATATTTACTTGTTATTTTATATTCAATCATTGAACTTGATGAACCGATTCCTAATATTGAAAATGCCCATACACGTATCGTATATTTTATTGATGTTTTCAATTCTTTTACTTTAATAAAGGTAGATAAAGTGATAACAAGGGGTTATTTCAAAAAAAAAAATTAATGTTTTTCTTGGAAAACTTTTTCTAGAAAAAAAACAATTACTTAGATAAGCATTATCTTGTGAAATTTGTTCAGACATTGTCCAATCACCATCACCTTCACGATATTCAACCGAATAATATGCTACTGGTGTTGGTTGTGGATGTTTTGGTGGTAACCATGAAACAACCCATCCTTGTGCCATTTTTTCAATACTAACATTACGTGGTGAACCTGGTGATAAACCACCACTGTTACCACTACTTCCGCCACTGCCACTAGTAATTATGGAATGATTATTATCATTATTATCATCATTATTAATATGATTAGTTGATTTTGTTGATGATTTTATTGATGATGATGATGATAATGATTCAGGTATTACAGTTGGTATATCTAATGTTCGTATTATATTTGATGTTGTTATATCTTGTTGATCCGTTTGTGAAACAATATTTTGTACTATCAAATCGATGAATGAATAATTCAAAGGGAAAAAATCAATGAAAAAAAACAAAACATTAAAATTAAGAAATAACAGAAGAAAAAAACATGCATTTTTACATTTAAATTTGAATTTTAAAATAAATTTTTGTTGATTTTATCAGCTAAAATGGATAAACGAAAACGATGATTACAACAACAACAACAACAATAATTACATCATCATCGAAAAAACAATCAAAAGAAATAGTAAAATCATCTTGTATTTTTGTTTTTTTTTACAAATAAAATTAAAGTTAATTACTTGTAATCATCATTATTATCATCGGCACAAAAAAAAAACATTATTAGTATTTTTTGTTCAAGATGATGATCAGTTCACTATATATTTATTAAAATCGGTTTATTGATTTACAGAATGAGAAAAAAAAGAAGAATTCAAAACAAGAAGAAAAACTTTCAAGTGTCATTGATTCTAGTATTCTTCTTTAGTTTCTTCTGTCTTAATCATCATTATTATTAATGAAAATTACAAGATGATAACAACAACAACAACAAGAAAATTATTTGGACAAATTGTTTGATTAAACTTCGACATTATAGACATACAGTATTATTAGTATTTAGGTAGGTAGTTATAAAAAGAAAAATTTCAAGTATGTTATTCTTTGAATGAAAAGAAGAAGAAGAATCGTTGAATTTTAATTTTCTCGTTTCTCGTTTCTTGCCATTTCTTAACTTGATTTTCGGTCATCAACCAAGGAAAGAAAGAAAAAAACAATTTTCCAATGTTTGTTTGTTTGCAATTTGCTATTTGCTATTTGTTTGTTTGGTTGTTATTTTCAGATTCTAATGATTCAAAACTTCATTATAAGCAAGAAGACAGAAAATTTTTTTTCCAATGATAATGATGATGATGATGATGATGACAAATTCTAATTGTCTTTTGATTCAAATAATAAATTATTTGTCATTTAAATGTTAATCGCAAAACATCATTTTCTTTCAACATGAAAAGAAAAGGAAATTTCTACTTTTTTCCATCATCATCATCATTTGTAGGAAATTTATACAAGAAAAGTTTCCATTAGAAAGAAAGAATATGAGATGACGATGATGATGAGACCATAGGACAAAGGAAAACCAAAGAAAACAAGGAATATATTATCATATCATTTATGGATGATGATGATGATGAAAGACCCAAAAGAGAAAAACTTTAAAACTAATCAAGAAAACAAAACCGGAGAACATTTTTCTATCATAAAGTTCAATGAACATTACAACATATAGTGGTTGTTGTTGTTATTATCTTTTTTGTTTGTAAAAATAGAAAATTTACAAAAAATAAATAAATAAAACGCGTGAAAATTTTGTAAATCAAACAACATCATCATTCTGTTTAATTCATCTGGATAAATTCTTTAGTTTTTTGTTTTGCATTTCATTCAAATTCCAAACAAACACTGAATGAATGAATGAATAAAGTAGGTAGAAAGAATTGCCTGAAAAAACAAACAAACAAACATTGAATACTGAATAAACAACAACAGCCAACCAAAATTCTTTCTACAGTCGTTTTCATTTATTCACCATCAAACACCAAACACCACCATCAAACACCAAATATCAATATCTCATCCGGAAAGCATCATCAAAAAAGCTTATAAATGAGAAAAACAGGGAAAAAAATCAATGAAAGAATGTACAAAAGAAAAGATGAAAAAATATTTTCAATCAATCGAAAATTCATGAATGAATGAATGAATAGAATGCAGAATGCAAGAGAAGAAAAAACCCAAAATAAGACAATAATGAACAATGACAGATTCAATGAATATCTCTCTCTCTCTCTCTCTTTCTCTCACTAACAATGATTAAATCTGATTAATTTGAATTAATTTATTTTTCTTTGCTTTTTGCTTTTTTGCGTTCCAAAATTTCATCATCAACGGTTTTTTGGGATTGGAGAAAAAACAAAGCAAAAGACAACAGTATTTAGATTGTAAATGGCATTGTCAGTTTTCTTTTTTGTTTTTCCACCAGCAACAAAAACAAAAAAAGCTTAATTCTGTAAATCATACTTTTATGTTTGGGTTTAATTCTCCAAAAAAACGAGAAAAAATTCTTTCATCCAGTCAACCAAGAATTTTGATTAGTATTTTTCTCTTGCTTTTTCTGTTTCACGCCTCTATGTCTTTTTTTCATATTACATTACACTATTCTGATTCTGATTCTGATTATTCTGATTTTTGGGAATCAAGAAAAAGCAAAAAAACAAAAAACAAAACACACAATATCTAAATGAGGTTTTTTTCGGTTTTGATTTTTGTTTTTTGATTTTTAGATTGCATGGTTATTTCAAAAAAACGAATGTTTAGTCATCATCATTAACCAGCAAAACAAAACAACAATAGTTATTCTGGGTTAGCTTGATTGATCTTTGGTAATGAAAGAATGAACATCATCATTGAATGAAATGAATGAAACTCGAAACTAAATAAACACATATATTATACGTAGAAATAAGTGGGAAAAAAAATAACCGGAACGAATAAAGAAAAATCGTTGATATTTTCAAGCCTGAAAATCCATTCACAATGCAAAGAACGAAAACGAAAAAATTGTAGTAAAGATACAAATCAAAACTATCGATCAATCGATCCATAAACTTAAACCAAAAGAAGAAACAAAAAAAAAAAATAGATCAGACTTGGGAGTGGAATTTCTTTCATTTTCTCATTTTCTCGGCGCTAATCAAAAACAACGTACAATAATGTACAAACAGCGTTATCTTTTTTTTTGGCTTTGGTTGCCGATTTGAATGAATGAATGAATGGATGGATCGATCTAATCTATCGATCGATCGATCCAATCGACCGACCGACCGACCGACCGACCATAACCGAAATTTTTTTTCATCATCATCATCATCATCTTCTTTGCATAATATGACGCCATAATATATGCTTTCTTTTTTTTTTTTTTTTTTTTTTTTTTTTTTTCTTTTTTTTTTGGTTTTTTTTTTTTTTTTTTTTTT